CTTTATTAAAGTTTTATTGGGATAAAACCTTTGTTTTATAGCAATGCAAGACTTAGGTAGGAATAACTCATTTTGTGGTGGTAAAGTTGCTCCTCAATGGCCATTCCCTGCTTTCCACACAGCAAACCTTAATCCCTGACCACCCAAATTCTGAGGAGTCCAAACCTCCTTTTGTCCACGTAGAAATCCCCACCCAGAGCACAGGAGCACACCAAGAATGTGTCAGGAAATCTCACAGTGGGGAGAAGACAAAGATCATCCACTACCTCATTGTTCACCTCTCAATATTTTGTCAGAACACAGATTTCCCACACCAAACATGTCCCAAGTGGAAGGAGAGCTGTGAAAAGAACTGGAACATAAGAAGCACAAAAGGAAATACTTCTGACAGGCTTTCTGCACAGACTTGGAATCCCATCTGCTCACAAAACAAGTGAATATTCATCGCTGACTGGTCAAACTGGGCAAGTGTAACATTGCAGGACTTTTGCCTGGGCTAAATTACAGCTCCAGCCTATAAACAAAGAAAAAAACCACTGCCAGCCTATTAAAAATAAAATACAAAACCAAAACACCCCCAAAAACACCAAGAAACACTGCACAGAGACAAAAAAAACCCTTAAACAATATTATTCACAGCTTTCATTAAAAGTATTATTAAGATTGCATTTTTGGACATTATTTCTTCCTGCATTGAGAAATGTGGATTATTTCTCATTAATCAACAAGGAACCAAGCCCAGTGTAACAAATATTCATTAAATTCACTGCTCATTCAAAGTTGCAATAAACCTTTTTCAATACACTACTGCATTTTGATTCTATATGAGCAAAAGTGAATTTTGTTTCTCTACTTTAGAAATATTCATATAAATACCATCACAGTATTTCATTTGATCAAAATACTGAATTTCACAGATTACAGAAGAGACTGGCAGCACCTTCAATCCAGAAGCCACTGCCATGAAAACAACATGACTGTTACTCGGTGCAAAAGTTTTATATATTTTTTTTTCAATCCAACTTTTTAAAACATCCAACTCCTCTCTTTGGAAAGTGACTTTCTCTGTTTATCTTTTAGAGCTCTAATGACAGACCTGTGTTCTCCCTTCCTCCTCCATCCTTCCCAACCAGAGACAAACAACCCCAAACCCCTTCTGGGAGCAGATCCTCCTGCCTCAATGTGTGAGAACACAAGCAGAGCCTCTCTCCTGCCTTGCTGCAGTTTTAATTTCATTGGAGCTGGTTGGGCTGATTTTCTCTGCAAACATCTGTGACTTAAAGCCAAGTGTGACTTTGGATACTGCCCACAGGATTTCCTCCCTTTCCCACTATTCCTCGTTCCTGGGATCCTGCCTTGTTTTTTCCCTGATGTATTTTTAAAGCATGTTCTTCCCAAAAAGATCCCAATGACAGTCTCCTGCTCAAGTGCTATGGATTTCCATTTAAATTGCTAGGTGGAGGAGGGATATCAACTCCCATTTTCCCATCCATTTCATGTGGAGATGCATCCAAGATTATGTGAGTACCCCCCAAAATAGCTGCTCAAAATGAATCATTCAAACCAGTTTCCAGCTCCTAAGAGACAAGGACTGAGCCTCCATCACAAAAACTTAAAATGTCATATAATGAGAGAGAGTTATGTGAGCCCAACAAGCATTTTGTAAGCAAAGTGAAAAATAAAAATCCAAATTACGTGCTTTTTAGATTTGTAGTATGAAAATTATCTGTTTTACTCAAATTTGACCACAGAAATAACAAAAGCCTCATCATGTACAAAACTGATGGAAAAATAAATAACAGGGGATATAAATGAATAACTCATCACAGGGGTCAAGGCTTCTGCAGCAAAATCAAAGGATTCAAATGAGCCTCCAGATGGGAAACAACTGAAGCTTTTCACAGGTTTAAATCTTGCTGTACCTTGGGGCTGCTGCTGAACTTCAGCAGTGCATGTATGAGCAGGCACACCAACCCCCCTGTGTATTCATACACACACAGCTGCAAAAAAATCCAGTGCTTTAAAACCCTCTTTATATCCTCAATATTCAAAGTGTAATGATGATTTGGAGGGGTTTCTATTTCTGCCATTTTTCTTTCAGATACAGATTACAATAATTTTTTTTTAAGTTCTCCTTTTTTTAATTTTACTCTTTACCCATCCATATCTTAACAAAATTAATTTAAACTCCATGAAGTCAAGATAAAAATTCTCTGATCATTAATAACATCATTTTTGAACTCTTGCTGTCTCCTCCTCCTCTAGCCTTTGCAATCCCAGTTTACTATCCTTTACTCTGAAACACAACAACAGTTGGGCTGGGGCTGTAATTTGATTACCTCAGGTTGGTCTTTTTCCTTTCCT